CTTTTACCATTGTCGAACGTCAGATTGGAATTTGACGAAGAAGATGCAAGGAATAATAATTATCCTCAGAGGGAAGAAGAAAGAAGAATAAGAAGGATAAGAAAGGATAACGATGTCTCAAGTTCCCAACGAGTTCACAAACATCAGGAAGAAGTATTATCTTCGAGTATCGATGACAAGTTGAACGTTAAAAGTAGGAACGTGACGGACGAAGAGAAATGTAAACGTCACGGCACTGATACAACTAAAACAGAAATTGCTTCAATCGACAACAACGAAGAAGACGAAGACGAAGACGAGGACGAAGACGAAGACGAAAACGAAGACGAAGACGAAGACGACGAATACGAGCATCCACACGAAAACGAAAAGGAAGACGAGGAAGAAGGCGAAAAAGAGGAAGAAGTTGTAGCAACACGAAGAAGTTCTTTGGTTAACTTTTTAAAAATACATGACCGAGATACGAGTAGTGGTGAAAATAGTCCGGAGTCTTTACAAAATTTAGAAAACTTGGAAAGAAGTTTGGAGATTTCAACGTCGATCGAAAACACGAGTAAGGAAGAAGAGAGATCTTCGTCATCGTCTTTGAGAATAGATCAAGACTATAGTTATAGGGCACGTGTAGCCTTGGTAACACCAATCGGTGAACATAAGATCAATTGGAGATCTATTGAAAACGAAGAGGAGGGGCAAGGGGGGAAAGGAGTTGAGGAGGGTTCGACAACAATTTGGATTTCGGATAACGACGAACAGGAAGAGATGTCGCGTAGACCTCAGGTTCTTAAAGTAGTCGATAACGACGTGACCAAAAGATCTCACCGTCGTTCAGTGGAAATAGATATTCATGTTGAAGATGTGCCAAAGTGTGAATTCGTACGAGACGTTAGAAATGAATCTAACGATTTCAAAGATTTGATATTGAAATCCAAACGAATAAAAGACGTCGTCGATGGAAATTCTACTATTCATGTAAGTTATTTATCATCGGTAATCGACTGACGGATGATTTGTCTCTTTTATTATTCTTATTAGAAAGTAATCTAGATTGTTTGATTTTTTTGTGCTAATCTTTCTACTCTACTTTTTTGTTCCTTTGTTTAACTTTAATTTTTGTTTCCTTTCTTTTATTTTTTTTTTTAAGGATGCTGTCTCTCAAGAGGAGAAAACGGAAGCATCTGTTAAGAACGTGAAGAACATGTTCGAGAATGAAATCTCTCGAGAGAAAGCTGTTGGAAAGACTAAACAGATCGAGAGTAGATTCGAGAGAATTGTCAAGGAAACTTCGAACATACTTGGCAAGGCATGCAACGTTGTAAAGGGTAGTTTAGGTTTCGAAGCTCGTTCAGAAAGTTCGGATCTTGGCTTGGGTTCTGAAATCGAAACTGATACTAGAAGAAGATCCGTCGATGATAATGATCACGATAGGGATTGTACCAACATGATTCATAAGAATATAGACGAGAACGATACTAAGAAAAATTATAATAATTTAACGAGATCTAAAAGTTGTGCAGACTCTATCGAGTCGCAAAACGATACACCAGAATTCGATCACGTTCGTTATAAGATCGTTAAATCGAATGTTTTTAGTAAAAATATGTATACCACTGGGAGAGGTGATGTCACATACGATGGTCTCATGCAATATCTTCGAGAATATTCATTTCAGGAACTTCTTCTGGATAACAATGTTGTTATCATCGAACCTGTGCGCGCAGAACAAATCGAAAGAAAATCTTCATCCGCTAGTGACAAAAGAAGACCAGAAACGAATTGTAAAGTATCAAATACGCTTCAAAAAACAGATGATTCCGATCAAGAATCGAGAAAGATTAATGAAAAGTGTGATAACGGTAATTGTAAAATCAGCAAACAATCATCGATTCGAAAACATTTCTTTTATCATCCTATCAGAGTTAATCGCGAATTGATTGATGAAGAATTACCTGATCCTGACACCGTGAGAAACGTAAGACGAATGTTCGAGGATACTTTAAAGAAGAAAAATTCATCTTCGAATTTAGATATGGATAAAGATTGTAAAAATAGAAAGAGCGTTAGCATGAAGGATCTCACAAGTATCGATTCGGATTCTCGTTACGAAGAAGTATTGGAAAAGAATGAAGAAATATCAAGGTACGTATATTTAAATATCTAATCAGTTCATCGAAACTGTTTATTCAGAAATAAATCAATGAAGTTATTTCCTTTCTATATACTTTTTTGTTCTATTAGATCCAGATGTTCAAGTAGAGCAAAAGATTTGACAAAAATGTTCGAGAGCATGGAAAAATCGACTTCAACGATTGCTTCGACAACCGGAAACAAAGAAGAAACGGAAAGTCCACGAAGCGAATCTAAAACAAGAATATTAGCGCAATCCTTCGAAGCTAGAAGTGGTCATACGTCACCGTGCGATTCTAATTCTTCGAAAAACAAAGTTACTCGTTATCATCATCATCATAACTGGGATGCCGGTAGTGTTAGTTCTGGAGTTTCCAGTGATTATCCAGACACCGATCCTGGTAGCGGAGTACAGTGCACGTCTTCGGAAGACGAGGATTGCCATTATGACGATGATGGTCTCGATGAGAGTGGACCTGGTCATTACGTGTCCCAAGATGTTTTGAAGAAAATTCGTGAATGTGGTACTTCAGTAACTTATTACGGAGGCAAAGTTGTTAACACATGCAATGGACCACTCATTTCACCATTAATCGAAAACAGGTTCAAGAGAATCGATCGAACCAAGAACGATTATGTTAAATTTAGGCTTATAAAAAGTAACTCTTGTGACAGTCGACTTGAATTAACTGGAAGATTAGTTGAAAGACAAGCTAAAGTAACCAATCGAAACGAAATAGTACCTGATTTGAGACAATACACTATAATTGAAACCCCAAGTATCGAGATTACGACAATCGACAATAAAGATGAAAATGACGAGAAAGATAAAGAGGAAACTTGTACGGAAACTAAAAGAGAACCACCTGTCGTTATTGGATTGGAACCAAAAAAGGACGAGCAGAAAGAAAGTAAAGCATTCAAGGCCGATTTCAAGCTAGGGAATTACGAGGATAATAAATCAACTTTTCACGCTAGATTCAATGAAAGTGCTTTGACAAGGTGGCAGGTAAACGAAAATCATTGGAAGAATGGAAGTGATTTTGGAAAAATGGAGTTTGAAGAGTTCGAGGTACTAGAGGATAGTCTTAATGGAACGGAAAATCAAAGTCAACGTTTGGAAGCTTCTTGAAAAGTTTCCTGAGAATATATTTTTACCTAGAGAAATATTTTCATCGGAAAAGCGTATGTGTGTGTGTGTGTGTGTGTGTGTGTATGTATAATTAAAAAGAAAATGATGTTTTTTCTTCGAATGATATGTATAAAAAGGGAATATGTAAATTTATGATATATATATACTTCAAAGTTTCGTCTTGTATCTATAATGTATAGTAGTAGTTCTCAACCTATGAACTGCGTCTCATTATTGGCTCGTAAAATGATAGTTATTAACTAACGTCAAAGTGAGCAAAGTAATAATTCATGTGTAAAAGATTTTCAAGTACGGTTGTATCTTCCAAATAATTTACAGTAACTCCAGTTTGTTATATAAAATTTGATATAAGAATTTGAGATAGGCAGTATCATTACAAATAAATTCATGGGTTGTATGGTAAAAAAGGGATTGAAAAAGGTTCAAATTGATGTATAGTACCTACGTAAGATTTTTTATCGATATCGTTAATGAATAATGAAATCTGAATAAATTTTCATGGTTAACCTGAAACATAGAAATTTACGAGGATGCTAATGTTCAATCGAAAATTCCAGCCAATATCGAACAAACTTTCGTCGATGTGACGATCATCGATTAACGTATTTATTATGGCGATTAACGACATTCTAAGCGCCCGTTATTGCCTCGTTTCATTCAGAAACTTTGATCTTTAGTTTTATCTTGGTTTAAGTCTAGTACTAGTCTTTCGGTGATCACTGTAATAAAACTCATATTTGTAGCGTGTATAATGGAATTAAATTATCGAATTTATTTTATTCGATGTTAAAATATGAATCCTTTTTTTCTCTGTTTTCCTCATATCATATTTTTCTCTCTTTTTTTTTTTTTTTTTACTTAAAAATTCTGCATTTGAAGAATAAATAATAATCGTTCATCCGACTTCAAGTACAGGGTATGGTCCAAAATTCCCAGATGATTCCAACAATATCATTAATTATGCTTTTTAAATTAAGTTTGTCTTATAAGACCGCAAGTCAAGGAATTTAATTACCTAAAAAAAAAAGAAAACAAAACTTGGCTTCAAAATTGACCCGATTGATAATATTTTTCAAGAAATTTTCTAGGCTCATTTTATTTTTTGTTATTTTAAAGTTACAGGTCTAAGAATTTTTTTGCTTACCCAGTATAAGAATATGATAACGGAAAGAAAAAGTGATAGGACGAATATTCGAAGGTAAAAGGACGAATTTAAAAATGAAATGTGGAATAAAAGATCATCCATTATACAGCATGAAAGTAAAGCGTAGCAGTTTCTCGAGAGTAGGTCACAATGTAAAATGAATGTCCTCGAAGATTTTCCTCTTTAAGAAGGATGCATATCGAATTGATTTTTATATCAACGGAATGCAACGACTGAAAATTTCAGATAAGTGACCCATATAGTACCCGAAGTATGAGAACAATTTTTTTTAACGTCATATAATATTACTAATATTTTATCAAATTTTCATATTCCTTTGTGCAACTATTTTCATTATAAAAATATCTATAATATACACGGAGATTCCTTGAAAAGAATAAAAAAAAAAAAGCAAGTAAATGTTATTTTTACATCTTCAGAAGTTTGCTACTTGGAAAACTGTATTGCTGAAAATAAGCACGTAACTTTCATATCTATGATAAATCTTCGTAGAAACAGCCAACAATTTCCGTAAAATATATTTTTCATTTTTATGGATTTTGCGGAGAGAGAACATACCGGTTGGTTCGGTGACGGATGTCGTAGATGGTTTTTCCCTTACGTCCTTTTTAATAGTCGATGCTTGAGTGTTGTTCTTCATGAGAATCGTACTTAAATTTGGCTCGAACGATCTCGCTGATATCGATATGTTCCTTTGCGAAAGTTGCCACCATCTTTTGCACCAGGTTTCCTAAAATAAAGTACGAAAAATAAAGTCAGAACAAATAGAGTTATAATATAACTGTATACGTTGGTAGATAAAAAGTGCATTAATATCAATGAAATGAAATATAAATATAGTGCAATAATAAAGGCGTACGTATACCTGCGAGAAAAAATATAAAAACCTTGAGATATTTCTCTATTTTTTCACCAGTTTTCATTTTTAACTTCAAAGAAAAAGAAAATATTTCAAAGTTTTTTTACTTTCAAAGTTACGCGAATTATGGAACATTTTTCCAAAAAATTGTTCGCGTACTAATTACTTTCCGATATTTTACTTTACCTCCTTTTTTTTTCTTTTTTCAGAATGGTACGATAAATTAATTTATCCTCTCTAAAAAAAAGTTGTGCAATTTCATTAATAAAAAAAGAGAAAAAAATATCGTTTATCTTAAAATAGTAAAACTTTTTCCTAAACCACTTTTTTCTTATGTTTTTTTTTTTTTAGAACCGAAACGAATAAAAGAAACATTTGGAGTGATAAAGTTGAGTGGCGCAGTGGGTATATCGCTTTGTTTTTTATCTTTCAAGAAGACAACATTTCCCGTACAAGTAGGAATTCAAATTCGTGTGGTGTAAAATGCGCTGAATATCGATCGGTGGATGCTTTCGGGGGGGAAAAGAAAACTTCTCGTCTTTCGATGAAACTTTTATACAGCAAACGGACGTTACTCTACACGTTTACGAGAAACTCGAGAGTTGGTAAAACCTCCCACTATATGATATTTTCTTCGAGTCCCTCATCGTGTTTGCTGATCCTAAACTTCGAATGGGACCGTAATTTTTTTACGAGAAGAAAAAAGGACAATAAGTGTATCGAAAAGAAGAATAAATAAATAAAATAAATAAACCAGCCTAAAATGAAACAAAACACACGTTTTCATATAGCCCAGTCAATAAGAGGTGAAGGAAAAACTTTCAGGTAGAAGTTCTCGACAGTTTGATACAAAGGTAATTCGACGTCACTGAATCGAATGGTGCTAATTTTTTTGCAATACGATGTGGCCTTAACGAGAAAAAGGGTAAAAATGGCCGTATCTTAGAATCTAGGCATTTAATCGAAAAAAGTTTCAAACAAAAGTTGTAGATAATTAAAAAATACATAAAAAATGTTCTAAGGTGTATCTTCGTATTTGCAAAAATAAGCGTCGACACTCGATGGCCAAGACGAAAAATTCTCGCTACAGCTTGAAAAAATATCAGAAATATTATATAATACAGAACACTCAACAATCGATGGGCCAAACAAAAAGAATCGCTATCGCTTAAAGAAATATTATCCATTTGTTTTCTCTCTCGCACTTGCATTCACGACCGAGAGACCCCAAGATAACGCACACTAGCTCGCTCGCGTGTAAAACCAACGAAGAGGCGTGGATTGCCCCCTCTTTTACAATTACCTTTCACCTTCATTTTCTCGCTTATTTTTGCAAATACGAAGATACACCTTAGAACATTTTTTATGTATTTTTTAATTATCTACAACTTTTGTTTGAAACTTTTTTCGATTAAATGCCTAGATTCTAAGATACGGCCATTTTTACCCTTTTTCTCGTTAAGGCCACATCGTATTGCAAAAAAATTAGCACCATTCGATTCAGTGACGTCGAATTACCTTTGTATCAAACTGTCGAGAACTTCTACCTGAAAGTTTTTCCTTCACCTCTTATTGACTGGGCTAATAAGGAAAAATGCAAATGCAAGCAATCGAGCTTGAATGTTTTGCATTTTTTTTTTTAATCAAATTTAATCAAAATCTATAGCGAAACTGATAGAAAAAGTAGTATGGAAATCATTATATCGATCGAATCTTTTTATTATATTGTTCTATTCTTATTTGCAATCTTTTCTCTCTTGCGTTTATCCAATAAGTTTCTCCAGTTACATTTCAAATAAACATTGGGCACGAATGTAATCTTTAGAATAGTGCTCGAGTTTTCAGTCTACGACGCAAATAAAGCGTACACTTAACAACGAGTTGAAGAATAATATTGGATCACCCTTCGAGCCAAATGTTTTTTCTTCTATTTTTCTTTTTCTTCTTGTTTTTATTTTTTTTTTATCTTTCATCAAGCTAGAAAGAACATATTTCTTTTTATGCCAGTCATACCTTTCATTTCATGATCTTAACTGATTTGCTATCTTTTTAAATCACTCGATCGTTCGTCCCCAATTCGAACTCTCACAACACTGAACGGAATTGAATAAATGAAGAAACTTTTTCATAAAATGAGACGATCGAACGAGCAAAGTGTTATTTTCAACGTGTTCAAATACCTTCCGCAAAGGGAAAAAGGTCATGATCAATTGAGAATTCTAGTGATTCCTATTATTTTCTCCGTGTTAAAAAATATCTATGCATATAGGTGCCTACTATTTTTTTTTTTTTTTTTTTGTAGATTATGGGCGATCAATGAAAATCAGATTTTCCTTTTCGAAAAATAACTGTGTCGATAATTATGATAGTAGCTTAACATAAGTCTAAAAATTATACTAATTTATTTCACGATTAATTTTGTAATATAAATAATTTGAATATAAAATAAATCATAAGATTTTTTTTCCAATGTTTTCATTTAGTTCACTGTCATAATTATCCGTACAACTAAGAAATTTCATATTGTTTCTAATTTTACTTATTATTTATTTCTCTTAATTAAAATAACCCAAACACTTTCTCGGTAATCTTATTATTATAATATACGATGTACTTTAAACATAGATTTAAAAAATCGCATTAGTTAATGGAAATAAATTATGAACGAATTTAAAATTGACACGAATTTTCTAGCTTATTTAATATTCTTGATAACAGATATCGATAAAAAATTAATCGTTTCGATCGTAAAATCGATCAAATAATTTGGAGAATAAAAATCAAATTTGATTTTAATTGGGTATCTCCGAAGTAGTCCGCAAAAATTGTTACGTAGACAATTTCTTGCAGACTTCTTTCTTTGAATATGCAAATTGAATGGTAAACATTAAGTCAATTTAATGATCTATCTCTTTACTTTAGCATACGATGTTTCCTTAAGTATCTTTGAATAGTATGGTCGGTTGGTATATATTCGTAACACCAAAGGGTATTTAAATGGTGCCAACGTGGCCATTGTAGTAATATCCCTTAGAGAGGGTAAAAGTCGTTGAAAATTCCATCCTGAATTAGGTTGACTTGATGTAGTATACCTACTCTAATTCGGCTGTTGAATTGTGATTTTATTCAAGATAAAATAAGAACAAAGCATTAGTCTAAATACGCGAACATTGTTTCGAATTAAGCATACATTTTTTATAATCCAATTTAATGAGTCCATTTGAGAAATAATACAAAAATAAACATTTTATCGATTTGTAGATCAAGTTTGATGTTTAACGATCTTTTGATAAAACTAAGTAATGTTTCCACGATAGATCATTTTGTTGTCAAGGAATTGATCAAACGTACCACGGACAACTGGAGGTTTGTTAAAATGATATGCGTCCACTGACCGAAATAAAACTTTAAAATACTAAATATACCGAGTGTCTTTTTCGAAAAGATGTACTTAAATGTTTCGGATTCTGTTAGTTTGTTAACCCTTTTGAATAAACATTTTCCTAAGCGTTAAATAAAAACTGTGCTTAATATTAAATCTACCGATACTTCATGTTTATCTATTCCTACCGTAAGTAGTCAAATGACTCCTTTAAAAAAAATATATATATCTTAATAAGAGAAATTAAATTTTAGCCAATTGAATAGTGAAGAAAACATTTTCTTTTATTTAGAACTGAATAAGTACGAGTAGCGCTCGTACATATAGGTCATCTGATTGATTCATCGATATTTCATTGAATTATGACGCCTTGAAATTAAACAGACCGCGTAATCGCAAATAAAGATATCATCTTTCCTGTGAATATTTTATAACCAATAAAATAACAAATCACATTTCATTATTGATTATATTTATTTTTATTTTTTCTGAATTTTGGAAATTGAAATTAATTCATCATAAATAACAATAGATGGAATAAATAGAAAATTATTTATAAAATTAATAGGATCGGAAAATGTTTTAGTATATTTTTTTAACTAAGACACCCGGTAGATTCGTATCGTCAAAGATACCAATATCTCTTTGATCAGTATGTTCCCATTTACTATGTTCGTTGATTCCATTTGTCCTATTTTTCCGTCCTCATTTTATCATCACATCCTCTGACTTCTCAATCTGATCTTCTCCCATTTTATCTTTCTCATTTCTTCATCGTAAGAGTTTCACTAAGATCGATTTTATAAGATAACGCAATTATTACCTTTAATCATCTTCCTAGTTTATCTATCAATTTTATAAATAATTTACCTCAAGATAAATATTGCAGTAGAATATTAATTGAAATTTTCTGGTGTCTTCGTCGACTAACTATAACTAACCTAACTAAAATATAATCATAATTCAAGTCTTCTGGTCGTCAGCCAAAAGAGTTAAAGGCAACATCTGTCGTGTGCAAAAGATGAGAGATAACTATAAATTAACAGAAACAACGAGAGATATGTAGTATTTTTCTGGCGAGACATTTACTGTACTTGAACATTATAATATTGTAGAAAATATTTAACTGGTCAAAATATAAAACCTAAATGTATGTATGTATATATATATATGTATATTAAACGTAGCAACACCATAACCACAATTATATTTTTTCTTCTTGTTATACAGTACGCTATATTTCGTTAGAATGCAAATAGCGGAGCAAGTATCCTAATCTATGGAATATCAGACCTTACAATAATTATCATAGCACACACTATCACAATGAAATTCCATTTTTCTGTGACAATGCATTATCCTTCATTTCTCTACACTAACAATCGTCAGCTAATTCCAAAATAATGAATATTACCAACACGACGAAAATTCGTCTTCGTTGTGAATCACTAAAATTTTGAAAATATTAAAACGCTTTGAAAAATTTACA